ACCCATAAGGTTTGTCACATAAACAGAACATGCCAATTCGTTTAGTACAGCACACCGGGTCTGCTGGAGAGCGAATTCACAACATTTACAATCTGAGTACGACGTGTCGCCAGTAATTATGAGCATCTTCAGGCGGATAATGGTCGCGAAAGCCTACATGTTAGACTGAACAACAACAGTCTGGCGATGATCTGCCTGGCTAAGTGTTCGGTGGGCGCACAAAGACAGCCAATCAGAGGCGGCGTCCCTTTCTGTCAGCTCTTGGTTCGCACGTGCAAAGGGCGCGCTCATTGGCTGAGCGGGCGCATGACGTCACAAGCCGTCACGAGGCTCGAGGCGTCCTCAGGCACCGTCCAATAGGAGTTCACGACCGCCCCCCGAGCAGTAGCGCCATTGAACTCACCCCAGATGGATGTTTTTTTTCTTGAAAATGTGCAAAAACAGCACATCCAGATAATACCATTTCGTTCATTTTGATAAACTTGTTAATTCGAAGTTAGGATCTTGATTCAGGGTTTTAGTTGGTGTTAGATGTGTTTTGTTAGTATTATGGGTAAGTGTGAAGCCAAATACATACAGGGCCATTTTCCTGCAAGACAATTTCCAGCAACATTGTGGAAATGAAGTTGGACGGAGTCTGCAACATTGACATCATAACTTTTGTCGTGCACTCGCTGCGATTGGCTGGATTGGCTCACATAATCGTCATGGCAATGTCCACCAACGTGGGTGCCTTTAAAAAAAAAACTCAAGTAACATCAATAACACTGGCCTTAAAATACAATATTTAGACGTTTTGAACAATGACCCTTCTTCATAGCACTTATATAGAGGTTTCATAGCACTTATATAGAGGCTTCATAGCACTTATATAGAGGCCTGGGAGACAAAGTGGAGTCTGCACTTTACACCGTGGGGCTTGATAAGGACTATATATTTGAAAATGTTTCCAGATAGGTGAATACTAGTAGCTGTTGGGTACCAGTCACACCCTTCAATAATCAAAACTTATAACGAAATAAACAAATGTATATTCAAGTAAAATTATAAGATGTTACTGGCACATTGCATGATGGGAAGGATTTTTCTGTAATTGCCTTTTTTCCATGTTGGCTAGGAGGTACTGAAATGCAGATTGACAAGCTAATCTTTGTTTATCAAGGCCAATTACCAACTCCCACGAGTGATTTAGTTAATATCTTCTTATATTTGTATTAGTGTTATAGATTAAAGTCAGAGTTACACATCATCATAAAGAATCGTGTGCGAGGTTGGGATTAGCATTCACATGTTCACCAGTGGCGTAACGATGCATCAACACATCGGTTAGTAATACATTCTAAATCTTACGACGATACATGCATTGAATCACATGTGTAGTGTAATAGCGCCGGCTGGTGGACAGCAGCGGCAACTGTGGTGAACAGACAGCGCATACGCCGGTGAGGGTGTGCACGGTGTGTGGGCAGAGGGTTGGAACTAGGGAAAGGGTCACAGAGGACCCCATCTGGAGGCCCCTGGAACCTGCTAGCGGGTTCGAGAAAGGAGGCGCGGTCAGGGCGGAGCCAGGCTGCGCTGGGAGCATAAAAGGAGCCGAGAGCGGGAGCTTGAGGCTGCCGGTTCTGGGAATGGGCTCGTCTAGTCGTTGCTGTCGTCTCGTCGACGTCGTCGCTAAACGCCTCCGCTAGATATTACGCTACGAAGGATAGTAGTTGGCTAGCTCTGTCAGCGCCGTCAGTGTTAGACGGTTAGTGTAATGTACAGGCTAGGCTGAGCTACTGTGGAGAGAGTGCGGATGAGACCGTGAAAGTTGTTAATAAAGTGCCTCCTATAAACTCTGTCTCTGAATCATTGACACTACACATGTATAAAAAGCAATGTTATTCTATTCGTATGTGGTGTATGTGATCGGTTTACGTGACCCTTTCCGGCCACCAGAGAGCGCTATGTTCACCACAGTGTAAAAATAAAGCATCGATTCTTGAATTGCATGCGTGGCCCTGCATGGCAGCAATGCAATGAACCGTAGAAAGTTGCTGACATTGCGAGTGGCAATATCGTCATCTCCCAACGTCCACGTTCGCGTTAGGCAATTGGTTTCACGTCTTGATTATTGTTTTACTTGTTATAACAATGCTTTAATGCACTGCTGGATGAAGACCTACGCACACCATGCCGGTCATGGTGGTTGTTCGACCACTGACTTTACCACGCTGGTCATTGAGGGTTGATTTCTCGAAACTCATCTTAGCCAGCAGTGTTTTATGGGCTATACATTCCAAGTATTACAGGAATGCAAAAGTTACAACTTGTGAGGGATGGTTACATCATCCTTAACGGTTAGTTATGATTTGAGTTTATGGTTAGTGTTAGGTTAGTGGTCAGCATTGTTTAGTGCGGAGTGCTTGCGTTAGCAGCTCAAACTGGCCGTGCTTAGCGAGCCCATCCCTGCGGTAGTGCCTATAGATTGGTAATGGGCGCTTCTTCCGGTAGTGTTAGGGATATCTAAAGTGTCAAGGTTTGTATCAGTGTTAGTGTCAGGGTTGGGCTTAGGGGTTAGTGCCCTTCCTTAGTGGAGGTGTAACGGAGGCATCCAGCCATCGATTCAGATCCATCGAATCGTGCTCGTAAACTTTGTTGTTTTTTTTCGGTCCAAATAATGTAATGGGATTCACGTGATCCTGGCAGCCACTAGGGGCCGCTAAATTCACCACTACAAAAATAAAAATGGACAATTTAATATAACATTTGAGCTTTTGCTACTGATACTAAGATTCACAATATAATTTTGGGTCAGATCGCGTGAGTGAAATGCGCGTTGTAAACCCACGTACCCACGTGATGAACGTGTGTGTATTACTCTCCAGCAGCAGCAGGGGCACACCGTTCTGCTGGAATACGGTGCTCGCGTGGTAGCAACCACAGCCACATCCATAGCTGTAATGGATGTGGTGTGCCAGGGTGCAGAATTAATTTCCGGATACACCTCGGCTAAAGCAGTAATCATCAATTGGCACGTCTGTTTATCACGTCACAACTCTATGAATTGGCTGTGTCGGGTGGAGGAGGGTGTAACAAACACAGATTTTACTCATTTGATCTGACCAAATCTAATCAAATATTAATAATTAATTATTGAATTGAATCATGACCTTGAATCGCGACTCGTTGCACCTCCATGTTTAAGGACTGCGGAGTGGCATCAGGGTTAGGGGAACAATTTCACATTTAAAATAAAAAACACCGTTACAATCACAGTAAAGTGCCCTAGCTAGCTTACACTCATCCAAACGCCCCCATGTGGCACACTGCGTCCCGTGTCCACATGCAATCTAACATACACCCAGTGTGCAATGCAAGATGTACTTCAGAGCAAAGCAAATGCAGGCGGGACTTGCATTTCAACACAAGCTGTGACAATAACAACAAATACATTCTGAGCCCAAGCGAAGAGTGCGGCTGGAGAGCACTTGCTCTACGAGCCGATCGCTCTATTCCACTGCACATTTAAGCCGTGCCGAGCCAGAGCGGCGTGGGAGCTCGGGAGAAGCCGAGCGGTGCCACTGACATCACGTGCGGAGAGTCGAGGCGCTCCTAGGTGACGTGGTGATGCCGCTTCCTCATGGAGTACTCGCCCACGTCACGCAAAACGAATGCAACGTCAGCATCACCCCTGGGCGCTGCTTGGCCTTGAGCCAGATTCAGACGTCTTCTTGCGAGGACAGCAAGTGCAGTACGGTTTGGTTCTGGCCTGGCATGGCCAATAGCCCCAGTGGAAAAACCACCGGTACCCCGCGCTGGCTTGGCTCAGATGAACCAGCAGAACAAGGCCACGAGTTGCAACGATGGTAGATGACAGCAGCACGAGGAAAGCCAATTGTTTAACAAACCCCAACAGAACGTACAACCGCTATCGTGCAGCGACACACTGAGTGGCTGTCCCACGTCGGTTTGAAGCTTCGCTTTTGAGATAAATGTGCTGTCGAGTGACTACCAAGGCCTACGGTGATGTCACCGTGGTGCCACTCTCGTACTTGTTTCATACTACGCAGCAGCAGATGGAAAACTATAGCACAGGAGAAAGTCAATTTGAAATATTTAATCCAATTAACGAAGCTTCTACTTGGTGTCGGATCGTCTAGGCCACAGGGACTAGTTGGGCAGCCAACCAGCAGATTGAGGGGGGTGTTGTGGGTTGTGTCTGCTGTGACATGGCCAAGGTTCATGGCTTGAACCCAGCGGTCACCCTGGTTAACACTGCGGGCTCATTAACCAAAAGGACTGCGGTGCCATTGGCTTCACAGTGGATGTTCAAGGTTCCCGCAATAATTCTTCGAAAATGAGAAGGCCATGTGTGGGCTGTCGTCAGTCAGAATTTGGAGTGTTAAAATAAAATAAAAAAATTACCTGCAAATTACTTCATTGGGAAAAGCAACATGGTACCACTGCCCTCTAAGTGGCAGACCCCACCAACGTCGAGGGCCTCGAGGGCAGGGATGTTCGACACTGAGATGTTATATAAGGCGCTTTGAGATGTTAAGGCATTGAAGCAAGTGCCCTGTGCATGCAAATCCCTCATCCTCATTGCACATCTGGGCTCCGCAAATGATTGCTCTGCTTTGCGAGGTCGCATTGGGGGTACACACATGGGGTGCATCTCGCAAGAGATGAGAGAAATACTGGAGATTGGTCGGAGAGCGATTCACAGCCCATAGTCAATCCACTGCTGGATGTTGGCCTCTCCACGCCCGTGTCTGTCGTGGGAGTTATTTTGAGCGTGCTCCGTCAAGCTGCTCCGTAGGGAGTTATTCCAAACAGAAATTATTTTGGGGAAAGATGCGGACGTACATTTCAACACGCAATGCATGTGACAAAGCCGCCCAGAACGCGCCAGATCGTGTCGGCGCTTGGATGGGCGACCGCCATGCAGCAACAACAGCCGATATCGCCTGCGGGGCCACGCACTTGGGCAGCAGAAGGGAGTGCAGGGAAAATAATAATTGTTGTGCTGTACTTCTATCCTTCCGTGTCTATGCTCCCTAAACTCATCGACCCGACCTGACCAGCGTGGTGAGGTTGTGGTCACATATCCCCCACGATTCGCACGGTGTGGGCCTGCCCTCATCCAGCAGTGGATTGACAGTTCGGTCCGTACCTACTGCAAAATACCGTAGACAATGCTTAAAGCCAGTCCATCATTAGACTTAGTTTCCGCTTACAAGATAAATTATCCCGACGAAGGTCGCAGAGCGTGTGCATTAGATGTGCGTGTTAGGGAGGTGTCTGGGTGAGTCGGTGGGGGGGGGGGGTCTCAATGGCTCCGTCAAAACATGGAGACATCGATCTCACCGCTGGGAACCTGGGTTCGATCTCGGGTTTAAGCGGCCCGCGATTAAAGCGTCACATCAAGCGCCAGCGCGTTGGTGGTCTTGGCCTGGTCACCAATGACTGCACGCAAAAAAATCCGAAACTTGACAATTGGTTTGTCACTTAATTTGGATATCCTTTACAGGCCATGTCATGAGGTGTAGTAACTCGAACGGAGGGCGATATAAAAGGAGCATGACGACTCGATGATTAATACCGATCCTCAAATTGACGATGGATGCGTCTATCCACGTAAGAATCAAGGCGTTTAGATTCCCGCATGTGGCACGTGATGGTTTTCACATGAACCCTCCAAGGGCAACGACCAATGGCGATGCTAAGAGAGGGAGGGTTCTTGCCTATAAATATCTGCCAATTCACCAGCGTTGATCTCAGAGCAAGCCTGACTGCTGATTCCAGACATTGACTGTTGAACGCAGAGTTTGCTTGCATGAAAGCAATGCTGGTGAAAAAAATTAGTTCCAGAATGCTGTGTGCCTGTTGGGGGATATATATATATATTTATGTAGAGGGACAGATATTAGAGGCTTTTAATTCTTCTGAATAGTGGGAACTCATCAACTCACTATACCCTGCGGGTGAGTCTTTACATCCGTAGAGTGCAACTACACCTCACGTCAAAGAATGGCCACAGAAGATGATGTCAAAGAACTACTTCTGAGCCGACTGCAGTATCCTCTTATCGACAATAGGGCCACATGTCTTACAACCTGTGCAAAAAAGCATTTGTTGCGTGTTACTAAAACCACGGTTTGTGATTCTCAGAGCTAGAGTAAGCCACATTACATGACAAACAAAATGTAATGTTATAGGTTTTTGTGCTATAATTGGGGATTGGACCTAGACCATATCCTCACGCCACTTCAGATTCCATGTATCTGGCTCAGAGGTCAGAGAGCTGAGTTGGCACCACTGAGAATCTTGGAATCGAATCCAGGCTTCATGGCACTGGGTTCTCAAGGGGAGTGAGCTGATGGTCACAAGTTACAGCAGAAAACAAAAACCCCATCACATTAAATTCGGCCGTGCACTCAATTTGACTAAAGTCCAACTCGGAGAATGGAAAATGTCGGTTTGTGACACTACAAAAATTGCTTTGTGTGGCAGGGGCGGCTGGGAAAGCGATGCCCTTTACTGTGGGGATCAGAGGTCACTTGAAGCAGGGACATCAGAGGTAGCTGCACTTCTGCGGGCTGTTCTCTAACACAAAGGGCCGCCGTGCTCTGCGAGTGATGCCAAATGGATTATTTGTCTCATGACATGACACTGCCAGGGAATACATTTGGGAATTAAAAAAAAAAGATTTTTTGTTTAGTTTTTGTTTTAAAGAACCCAGATTAAATCGCGGGTGGCTGAAACCCAGACTCCAAATCCGGGATGTTGGCGGTGCGGACGCGACGTGTCTCCGAGCCGGTACCAGCTGTCCCACCCGGCCGGGCTGCCTGCATCTCTCGCGTGGGGTCAGCACCACGGCTCGAGGCCGCACAGAGCGGAGGCGGCGGGCCGGGCCCCCCTGCCTCCGCCCTCCCCACCCCCGATCCCCCCGCCGGCACTCACTGCAGGCCGGCCAGATGGGTGACGGGCGGCAGGTGAACCAGGAACTCGTCGTACTTCTCCACAAAGAGGCGCAGGCGGTTGGAGTAGGAGGCCTCCTGGTAAGGCTGCCCACAGCTCTTGAGGTACGAGGACACGAGCGGTTTAATCTGCATGCACAGAACCAAGGCACAAGCGCTGTTAACGAGCGCCTATTAAAGTCAGAAAGACACCACAACGGGTTACGTATTATGCAATACAATACACAACTCAAAATAACCAATAATCATTAGCATCTTTGTGGGACCCACATTTGCGTCCTTGCTGATAACATCTGGCAGTTCACCACTATTGATTCAAGCAAGTCTGAAGTGCGTCGAAACTGGTCTCGAGTTTGCTGAGAATGAATGAACGCTGCTGAAATTATACACTTCCAGAAGTCTGCGGGGTTAACGATGGGTTATGTAAAATATACTTTTTTATATGAAGAGACAGATACGTGAAGGAGACACGAACACTATTTTGTTTGGGGCACATTGCTACGTTACGGTTCATTGTTAGGTTCAGGTATCCAAAGGCACCCCCGGCCAGCCCTCGTCAGTGCGACCAGGGCTCAATGAGGACTGCCGAGGGCTCGCGGCCTTCATGGGCGGCACCTGTAGGCACATGTGGTCGGAGAGCGCGGGGAAGAGGTGATGCTCCACGTGGCAGCTGATGAGCGAGTGCCCGAAGCACACGTCCAGCACGGGCACACGGTGCAGGTTCAGCACGCCGTGCGCCATCTGCACCAGCCGGCGCGGGCAGCTGTCGCGAGCGAACATCGCCAGCCCCAGGTGCTGCGCGACGGCACGCAGGGGGGACGTCACGGGGACGTCACGGGGACGTCACGGGGACGTCACGGGGACAGAAATGACAGTTATGGGGAAAATACGGGGAGTTGCAGGGAACTGCAGGGACATCACGGAGAGTTACGGGAAGGTCACGGGGAGTTACGGGAAGATCACGATGATTTATGGACATTACGCAGAGCGGGAGGAGCAGGAGGCGGCTGCGTGAGTCTCACCTGGAAGACGTTGACGTGGATGTAGGGGATGGCGAAGGCCGCCCGGCTCGTGTACATGCACGCTGCCGCCGTGGCCGCCGAGCTGAAGCCGCACGCAAAGCGCAGCCAGCAGAAGTGAGCGCCCAGCCCCAGCGCGCACAGCGCCAGCGTTCGCACCGACGAGCACCACGACGACGCCGGCCGCTTCAGCAGCAGCCCTGGGGGGGGGAGCCAGAGGGGGACGGAGTGGGGGGAGACGGAGTAGGGGGGGGTAGACGGAGGTGGGGGGGGGGGAGGGGGACAGAAGGGGGGGTGACAGGGATGGAGGGGGAGACGCGGTGGCTTGGCCCAGCTGCAAGTCGTTTGCCACTCGTTGCAGAGGTTCACGACGGTCGGCATCCGTAAGGAGGCCCCGGTTATTACTGCCGGTGCATCAACACCATCACCAGTGGAACTGTGCTTCACAGCGGACGTGAAGATCTAGGGATGTCATTTGGAACGAGTGGTAGGCCACTGCGTGCTGGTGAAAAATTCTACAATGTACACCGCAAAAAACTCACTTGTGATTATGCGCGGCAGCGATCATCGCCCCCTCCTGGCAGACTAAAGCCAACTACTAGTCGGCCGAGTAAAATTTTATTTTCTATTCTTTTTAAAACATGTACATATTTATAAAAAATTTAAAGTTGTGCATTCTGAAATATATATAAAACTGTTTGTTGTTAAGAGTGACGAGTCAAGACGTGTATAAAAATGCGTGCTCTCCTGTTTCCTGGGTGAGAAGTAGTGGAGCTTTGTCCTTGCCAAATCCTTGCCAGGCCCGACTCAAAAACTCACGAAACATTTCCAACAATTTGTGTTTCAGGGTTTTTAAAATATGGTAAATCATCAGCAAATCTGAGGTGGTTAACAACTTCTCCATGAATTCAAATATTTTTCAAATGGGATACAAACACCGATGTGATAAAACGTGCCTAGAATTTACTCCGTCAAATTATTTGAGATAACATTTTTATATTGAATACGAGATATACGTGTGTGGTTGGGCAGGACTTTGTTTAAATTTACGACTTGTTGTTGAAATAACTGAAGTGTACATAACCCCAAAGGCAAATGCACGGCAGGTGCAAAGAACGCTTACCCGAAACATCTGAAAGGTTTATTGGGGCCTCTGACAACAAGGGGAAAACCCAGCCAGGATAAAGCCTTTGTGAAACCAGGACTGTCCCAGCCACACCAGGACTGGCCCAGCCAAATCAGGCCAACGGTAATAACGATAACAGTTCACGCCCCCCCTCCAGCGTGCCGTGCCGTACCCAGCGTCACGGCCGGGGTGATGAAAGGCAGGGCGAGCGGCGCGAGAAACAGGTAGACAAAGCGCGGCAGGAAGGGGGCACGCCACGTGGAGGAGTCGCCCAGGCCCAGCACGTTGGTGTAGGCGTGGTGCACCTTCACGTGCTCCTCCACCGCCACGTCCGCCGGGAAGCAGCCGCACACCTCGCACGCACGCACACACACACGCACACCACGGGGTACTCACTCACATCTGTAAGTGACCTGGTTGGAGACCCCGGGACGTCTGTGTCATTGTGGCATTGTGACGGGTGTGTGTGTGTGTGTATATAAGGGGAGTGGTGGCGCAGTGGGTAGCCGCATTGCGCTACTAATGCGGCACCCCAGTTCGTTTCCTGCTCAAGGCCAACACCAGTGGCGATAATCTGAACCGGTCCTGAGGCTCCCCTATGTCGACTCAGCCCTAAATGTACCTGGTGCAGTGTGTAAATATTCCCACTAGGGAGACTAAGACAGCCGGATGTGGTGCTGGCCATACAACCCCACGTGTTGTGTTCGCTAACAGCACTTGCCCCAAAAGTCCATTAAGGCTATAAGGCGGATCGTTGTCTCTGCCGTATGTATTGGTATTACATTGCATGTGTGTCAACAAGTATATGCCTGGTTGTCCTTATGTCTATTTGTTCTCTTATTTGATTGTCTATCTATCTATCTGGGCATCTATCTGGCTGTCCATCTGTCTGTCTGTCTATCTGATGAATGTGTCTGCCATTCATCTATCTGCGTGTCTGGTTGTCTTTTAATCTGTACGTCTCTGTGCCACCATCTGTCCATCTGTTTGCCAGTGTGCCTGTCTGTCCATATATATGTGTGTGTGTGTGCCTGACTGTCCACCTGTCCATCCATCTGTCTGTGTGCTCGAAAGTCTACCGGTCACTCAATCTCATCAGTCTTCCTTTCCGCCTGGATTTCTCTAAGTGTACGCTAACAATCCTAAATATATCCCAGTACAGCCGAGGCAGCTGGTGGCATTCCATGGCTTCCAAAAATAATACCATTCACATCGTTCATTCACCCGGCCTCAAGACTGTCTCAGGAGGGTGCTGCATTGGGATGGTTGGCTAACCGTGGTGGCCAAGGTAACACGGCGCTTCGGGATCTGAGGGTTGATGGATCACAAAGAACTTCTAGTAAACTCACAATCCCACTGGGGCTGTGAGATGACCAGGGCATGGCGGTACAGCAAGTGGGTGAGTGAACCTGTCGGGACAAATCTTGATTGCTGTCTCCTCTGGTGCATGGCGGAGTTTCTTCAGGTGCTCTGTCTTACCACCTATCCCACCTTCAAAAAAATAATTGGCCACACATGCCGATGTAGGACACTCCTGCAAATAGTTTTGAGAATCTATAAAATATATGAGTGTTATTGGTAAAAAAATAAATCTGAGCTATCACACTCCAGACCAAATCACGCGGAATGTGCCCAATCGTAGCAGGTCTTTAAGCTAAGTGAAGTTAAGCCTGGACAGCGCTGCACCGCGTACAAGAAGCGGTGCCAGCCGCCACGTGGGTGCAATTTGCAAACAACACGGGGCCTCAGTTAGCCACATCGGTACACCCACGCGTGGCCACAAAGTGATAGCGCTCGGACTCCTGCCAAAGCCATAAAGGAGCGGTGTTCATTCACGATGACGCTGCAGAGCGCCTGCGCGCAAGCGGACTCGCTGCCAGATTCCCGTGTGCCGGTGGGGCGGTGCCACGCGCCACCCTTGCCACACCTCCACCAGATTGTGGGGCTCCGATCCCGATGGTTTGCGTAAGAGGTCGGGTAACAGCCCGTTGGACGGAAACGTGCGTGCGGGCCAGAAATTACAGTCTGTTCTGCTTTAACGCGGTAGTTGTGTTCCTGAAGAATACCGCATTGCGGAAAAATCGCGTTATAATAAATAATATAGGGGGTAAAGCACAGTCCGTGATAACACGTGAGATGCGTACGCAGGCTGAACAATGACTAAGGCGTGTGTATGAGGCTGATTGTGCGGTTGAGTCCGAGTACGTGGTTGATCGTATGCAGTCGAGTTCACCGGGTTTGGCTGAATCGCGATGCGATGCATCGCATACAACCGCTTATTCATATCCACGCGATGTGGTTCCGTCCACTCAATCGTGTTATCTCCAATTGGTATCCGCGTTATGTAAAAAATGTATTCCCTCATACATTTATCGCGTTATATACAATTCGCGTTATGAAAACACCGAGCAGCGTTATCGGGGAACGGACTGTACGCGGATATAGTTTTGACCAGGGAGAGACCGGGGTGAGTGGCGTTCGCACGAATTGAGTGTCGTAAGGACGACAGCAACAACGTAAAACAACTCACAGAGCCCTTGAGGTGCAAGGCAGCAGCAGGAGGCAGCGATGCCTATACTGTACTGATGATTTCTAACACTGGCGAAACTGGTATTATACAGCTGTCTTGGTTATCCTGCTACTGCTGCTGTCGTCTAAAATAATTATGGCCAAAGTGTGAATTCTTTGAGTGGGTGTCCTGAAGCAAGGCTGTGTGCAACGTGCGCACGGTGTGGTGATGGCACGCGACATGCAAGGCATTATGGGCGCACTGATCTTTTGATCACAGACAAACCTTTTGCCGTCCATAAATCACCTTGGCGTGTTAGTATTTGTATCTCATAATAATAATAACAACACATTTACATTGAGAAGCACATTTAAACGTGCCGTGCATCACGTAAATAGCTAAATGGTTGGCCAAGGGGAGGATTCACGATCAAGCATCGGAGCTAATTGTTAAAACCGAAAACGAGAGAAACGCGTGTTGAGCTGGAGTTTAACCCACTCTGCTGCTGCTGCCACGTGGCCAATCGTTGTGTGGTTGATTGTGCGTGCGGTGGATCGTGTATGCGATGATTGTGTATGCGGTAGATGACGTGTGCGATTGCGTGTGCGAATTAATTGATTGTGTGTGTGCGGTTGACCGCGTGTGTGATTGCAGTTGATAACATGAGCAGTTGAGGTTTGAGTTGGTGACACGCCTGACAGACCGTGTGTGAGGATAATAGTGTGGTCGAGTGCATGGTTGATAGTGTCCAGTTGATTTACCGGGTGTGTGGCTGAATTGATTGCATGTGCGGGGAGTTGTGTGCAAAGTTAAGTTCGTCACACGTGGGTGATTGTGTGGTCGATTGCAAGGCAGAGTCTGTGGTTGATCGTCCATGTGGTTGTCTATGTGCTTGTCCCTGTGTGTGGTTGATCGTCATCTGTAGTCAATCATACAAACGATCGACTGAAGCGCAATCAGCTACCACATCAGCAGTGAACAGCTCCTGCTGCTGCAAGGTAAATATCGATTGCTCATCTGGACCACATGACACACCTGCCAACTTCCAACAACAACAGCCCCCGCCATTCACCACTTAGTGGCAGTCACCTCACCACAGCACCTGTGCCAGGCCAGATTCACTTTGAGGCTGTCACGTCAAGTGTGGAAGGCTCGCTGGAAAGAGGTCACGGGGACCGGCTAGGGTCTTATGGATTTACTGACCGAGATGACTGTCCGATGCAGCACCTGTGCAGCCTACTGTGCCAACTCGCTACATTTTAACAGCCCGGCGCTCCGATCGTTGTTGTGAGTGTCGCTACTCCACCCTCCGTTGTTGCTGGAGGGCCGCTGCCTCCAACTGCCCAGTAGCGTCCTTCACGAGCTTCCTCCACAGAGGCCGAGTTTTACACTACTGGTACCAGTCATCGGCAAGTCCACTTCGCTCCACATCCTCCTGTACCGCATCAAAATCGTCTCTTTTTCAGCCTGTGCCACGTCCGTTTAGCCCCCTCTATGCAGCCAAACAGAAGCTGCTCGGCTGCTGCCACCACACACACACGTTGCGTGCGCTCACCTCGATGAAGAAGAGGCACCACACTCGGCTCCAGAGGCGCGAGTCGGCGAGGGAGTTGTGGCTGGCGAGGTGCGTGGCCTTCACCGTGAAGAGCGCGTGCGTCACTGCCAGGCACCCGCAGCCCAGCAGCAGCGCCGCCAAGCTGTCCAGCGACACCAGCACGAGGCCTGCGGGAGAGGCCACCCCGTCACTCGCACACAGAACTCTCTCGCTGTGGTCATGAGTATATGTGTCTCACTGCTCCTATCGGTATCCCTCTCTCACTATAACTGTGGCTACTAGGCATGTGATATCTACTCCGGTCAAGCAGCGACACAAACAATATTCAGTAAGAAAATGAACACAGGTATTGCCCTTATGTATGGCTCGATGAATAGCAACTTATATGTCCGTGTCCAGGTGAGTTAGCCAATTAATGTCTTCAGTTAATTGTGCGGTGGATTACTTCAATACATCTGTTGAAATTTGAAGAATTCACAATGGTTCACTGCTGTGTAGTCTCAAATAGAGTCACGTAGACTCGCAGGGAGATTCAAAAACTTAGAGAAAGCGTTGACTCACAGAGAGCTGGACAGTGGTTCACTACTGTGTGGTCGATGGTCTAGTTGGCATTTCTGCATCGCACAAACAGATGCCTTACAAACACAAAGCGTATGAATACCCAACGTGTTGTGACAACTTTGTTGTTGTATGTGCTTTTTGCTTTGGTGACATTTCTTAATTTGTTTATTCGTTTTTTTATTTTGCTTGGCAGTAGTAGTAGGGTTTGCATTTGCTTGGTAGTAGTGGCTCTATATGCGATTTGGCCCTGACATATATAATTCATGAACAGCATTGTGGGATGCTATTGGCATGAATGACGCTATATAAAAAGTATTATTATCACCATGTAACAGATGCCTCACTAATACAAAACACATTGGCACACAACGTTTGACAGATGCCTGACTACCGCGTGGACATGTGATCTCTCTCCCTCTGTGCACTGTGGCTTTAGTAACCGAGTGGGGAGGTAGTCTTGAATGGCGAGCGCCCATATACCAGCCAGTGGGCGTCACGGTGGCGAAACGTTAACTACCTCGCCTGGTATGCAGGAGGTCGTGGGTTCGATGCCGACCCTGACGCCTGCTGCTGTATAAAATAACTTGAGAACATGGCTGGGGTAGAGGAGGGGAACGAGGTTAGGCAGAGCCTTGGGGGTCACATCACTGGGAGATTCATCACGAACTGAGCTCTGAATCATCATCTTGATTTGTACTGGAAGAGTCCAATGAGCCATAAAGCTCCTTTTCACAGATGTCCAGTTGGAAGGGTCAGCAAGTTACAAACAATACAAAACACACGACAGGAGTGCAAAATAGAGAAAGAGCTAAGCAAGTCACAAAAAATATAAACAAAATAAACAAGTATTTAAGTCTGAGTTCCCGGGGAAGCTCCCAGAATGTGAGGCGAAATGTCGGATATGGTGACAAATGGGCGAGCCGGTATAAAAGCCATGTGCCGATACTGGGGCTGTGCGTGTAACGAGTGGACGATGAAGAACACTCAAAATGTAGAGAACATGTTCCATGAATCTAAATGAATTGGGACCACACCTGAAAATTGTGCGGAGTAAATGAATTATCCATCTGAACAAAGAAAATAATTGGACCAGGTGGTTTGGGCTGATGCCAGGTGCAGACCGCTGAGCAGGCACTAAAACTAAACTATAAACTTTTTATTTGACCAGGTAAGGCTCACTGAGCAATGTAGCTATTTATTCATAAGTGACCTGGCTATCACAAATGATAGCTCCAAAAAGTGGCTTATCTTGGGTAAGTTTATAGCAGCCAAATACTCTAAACGCATGACGTTGATTCTAAATGTGGAGGTAAAAACCGATGGGTCTGGAGAAAAATCCACGCGACCATGGAGAGACACCGTAGACTCCAAATATAGAGCACGCGTCAGGGTCGGGATCGGGATCGAACTCACGACCTCCTGTGAGATGATAGCCACAGCCAGAGGACCCTGACAATTCGCTGTGGCATCGCTGAAATCGCCGAGGCAGTTCTCAATCGTTGACGGTGTCGCTGGTTATGCGAGGACTTTAACTGTGGCTCTGACGTGGCGGAAGAAGAAGAGGGAGACGATGCTGACGAGCCAAGCCAGCGAGGACAAAGTGGTGCCACTCTCGCATCCGTTACGAAATACGAACGGCACGGATGAAAGGTGACTCATGCAGTGGGTAATCTGACACGAGACACAATTACCCCCAATAATAAAGTCATGAATGTCCGGACAGGTGCTGTATATACGTACATACAAACACAAAGACCCCCGTAAAGCCTAAACAGATTGTAAGGAGCAAGTGTTGTTAGCGAGTAGCACCTATGAAAGACGGAACGACACACATGAGGGTAGTTGGCTGGCATCAGGCATAGGCCGCCTTTGTCACCCCAGTGGCGATGTTCACACACTGTACCAGGTACTCATTTGAGGCTGAATCGACCTCGGGGATGTTGGTCGCTGGGTTCGTAGCGTAGCGCGCTAACCATTACACTACCGCTCCCAGATATGTAAACCGACACTAAGACAGACCGATGCAGCAATAAGGTCAGGTGTTGAGAGCAACAGGTTTAACCAACCACATTACATGGTCAATTAAAATACGTGAAGATGCATGGGATTAGCCAACGGCAGATTACACAGCAAAGCTCACCGTAACGCCTGCAAGCATCACCATTCTGACTATTTTCTATTTCCTGCATTCTGTGGATAATAAGAGACACGTATATATCCACTCCATATATATCCCTGAAAGAAGACGCAGGCGAGCTAAGTCTTGTAAGGGCTGTTTTATTTGCCGTAAACTCGCGCAGTGAGGAGCACACGCAGTGTTCAGGGAGCTACTCCAACCAAGGGCTCCGAGCTCTCCTCGCGAGCCCTTCCTATCCTCTTCCTGGGCCTTCTCTCTCAACCCTTCTCCTCTCCTACACCAATTGCTTTCGTTTCCCATAAAGGCTCTCCCCCATCAGATCCTCTCAATTACGTCTCACTTTTTCGAGGGCTTTTCTAAATAAATATCTGCACCAATACAATTCGAGTGTTTCACACCCCCCCCCCAATCATATTGCGTGCTAGACACGTCCACCGCTCCATGTGACAGCTTGACAATGGGAAGTCAGCGCCTTACCTTAACCCGACTAGGACATGAGGCTCGGGGGGTGTTGTTTATTATTTTATTCATAGGGTTCACCGTACGTGTGTAATGACAGGGTGACACCTGTCTGCCTGGAGTGGTAATTGAGGTTATGGATGCACTACGTAACGCCTTATTATAAGGGGGGCGTATCTGGGGTAAAGGTGAAAGGCGGAGTCAGTCGAGAAGCTCCAGGAACCGGCTCGAGGGTTCTGGAAGGGGGCGTGACCATGACCAGAGGTGCAGCTTGGCCGCGCCGGGGCAGATATAAGGGGGACCGAACCAGAGGTTCGGTGCTGTTTGGAGTCCTGGGTCCTGGCTGCGTCGCTGCCCGTCGTCATTTCTTCGTTCTCCGACCACGTGGCTACTTTACCAAGTGTTGTATACTTGGATGACTACGGAATAACCTATTGCTACGGCAGCTGATGTATTGCGGTGTTTAGGAGATGTTAACTACCTCGCCTGGTATACAGGAGGTCGTAGGTTATATCCAGACCCTGACGCCTCCTGTATATTTGTAGTTTGTGTGTCTCTCTCCCCGTGGTCACGTGGATTTTTCTCCGGGCCCTCCAGTTTTTCACTCCACATTTAAAATCAACGTGCGTTTTAGAGTATCTGGCTGCTATACATTTACACGGATAAGCCACTTCGTTGACTATCATTTATGGCCAGGTCGCTTCTGAAAAAAAAACTATATAGCTCAGTGGACCTTACCTGGTAAAATAAAAAGCTTAGTTTAAGTTTGTTTTAAAACGCTCCCCCAGAATTAAATGATATAACGCACTGCTCATCTCGCCACGCAAGCATACAAAGAGACGGGATAGCGGCTGACCGCTCCATTCACCCCGCCCGCCACTCACGGAGGCTCGCTGCTGGGACACCGCTCTGGCCGTCGGCACCACGGAAGAAGACCACGTGGGTGGGGGGCCAATGGGCCCGAGTGGGGGGAGCGGGGGGAGCGGTGGCAGGATTGGGGGGAGCGGGGGCAGGTGAAGAGGGAGGGGGGGCAGGTCAAGAGGGGGGGGGCAGGTCAAGAGGGGGGGGGCGGTGAAGAGGGGAG